CTTGGGCGGGCGCGGTATCATGGCAACGTCGGCTACGTTAGACACGACGATGATAGTGGCGATGCTGGTGACGATGTTCGCACCGACGACGGCGCGGCCAGTGCGGGAGCCGATGCTGATCACGCCGACGACGATGACGGCGCCCTCGCGACGGTAATGAAGGTTCTGGAAAGAATTCGACATACGCGCGCGGCCGACGCGAGTGGCCCGCATGGTTTTATTTGACGCGAATCGTGCCCCCCCCCCCCCCAGCACGCGCGCAAGGGCGTGCGAACGATGTCGGCATGCGGCGTCGCAGGCCCGTTTGGCAGAATTCCATGAAAATCTGGAAAACCTCTGGTATGTTTGGGGATTCGCAAGAGCGGGCGCGCAAGCTTTTTGAAAACTAATGTTGCGAAACGTTGTGCTGTTGACTGTTTGTTGGACATTCGGTTCTGAAACCGTTTCGAAACCGTTGGTTTTTGAAGGATTGCGGCATGCGCGCGCGACGACGCGCGCGTGTGCACTTCAACCCGTTTTTAGGCAAAATATTCTCGCGACGGCACGCGCGCAAAGGCGTTCGAACGATGTCGACATACGCGCGCGCGAAACCCGTTTGGTAGTACATTATGGAAATGTTTTTCTTTAAATAACAAAAAAGAAACGCAGGTTTCCCGCTAAAAGAACGCAAGAACGCGCACATGTTGCTTTGAATATCCGTGTTGCGAAACCCTTTGTTCTTGTCTGTTTTGTGAAAATCGATGTGAACATCTTCCGGTACCGGAGGTTTTTGAAAGATTGCGGCATGCGCGCGCGACGACGCGCGCGTGAATTTCGTTTCAATTATTGCAAGGGGTTCATGAACATTTTTAATGTGAAAGAAACGAGCGCGCGCGCATAATAGATTTGCAGGGTATGGCGGGAAGGGTCGATACCGGCTGGGCTGGGAGGGTACGAATTCGTTAAGGATGGGCCATGGGGCAAAATCGCATGTAAATTGCAACACCAAAAAGGTGGACCGATAAAGCCGGGCGGGGGGATCCTAATTCTCTGCTGGGGAAGAAAATCTTCGTGGCTCATATACGGATTGCAATATATGTGTTGCAGTAAATGGGTGCCGTCTACTTTGTGCAAGTCACCGATGCTCTATTTGACATCTCGATTTGGCAAACCCACTGGTCGCTCAACCATCCCACCCACCTACCCGCAATTTGGTTTGCAAATAACCCATGCGGCGGTGATTGCGATGACTGCTTAGCATTGGCTGGCGCATCGCTGCGGCCGCGTCAGCCTGCGCAGGCTCGCGCGCAAAGCGGCCAGCTTGTCTGGCGCGACCGACGCGGCCGCGGCGGCGCTGACTGCTGGAGACTTCCAAGCGCGTCTCGCAGACCGCGCTGACGCACGGGCACTTCATGCAAATCGGTGACTCGGGCGGGCGCGGTATCATGGTGACATCGCCAAAAGCAGATACGATGATGATCGTGGTGATGGTGGCGATGATACAAATCACGACAGCAAGGCCAATGACGGCGCCGACGCTGACCACGCCGATGAATACGATGATGTCCGCGTGTCGTTGGTGAACGTTGCAAGAAGATTTCGACATGCGCGCGCGGCCGACGGGCGCGAGATGCCCGCATGGTATGATTTGACAGGGATCGTGCTCCCCCCAAGCAAGCGCGCAAGGGCGTTCGAGTGATCTCGACATGCGCGCGCGAGAGATCCGCTTTGGTGGATTTGATGGACATGGTGAAGTATCGCCAATGCGCGCGCACATACTTTTGAAATCATCCAGGATGCAGAGCGATCTTGATCTTGAATCCGCACGCGCGCGCGACGACGCGCGCGCGCGGACTTTGTCCCTTTGTTGCAAGAGATGTTTGAAAACTGTTGATGCTTTGATTAATAAACGAATGCGCGCGCATAGTAGCATTGGACAAGGATGAGGGGCGTCGATAAACACACTCCATCGGATGGTATGGAATCATATTTAAGATGAACAACGATGGGGCAGAATCATACGCCAATCGCACTATCCCAGGAAAGGGCGGTAAAGCCAGTGGGCGGTAGATGTTGTGCAATCTATCTTGGGGCGGCAACGGCGGCAACATAGCCGCGCAAGACCGACAGACACGCCCAGACGACGGGCGGCGACGAGTCGGCGACGGCGACGGCGACTACATAGCCGCCAGAGCGGCAGACAGGCCCAGACGGCGGGCGGCGACGAGGCGGCGACGGGGCGGCGACGGCGGCCACATAGCCGCCAAGCCAACAAACAGACCCAATTCCCAATTCCAGCCGATAACAAACCCAAAACCCCATGAGAGCAAGCACTGCTTGGGCAATTGTTGCAAGCGGGGGGGGAGAGGGGGGGGACCCCCCCCAAAACGGATCCCCCGGGATCTGTAGCCCTGAGGGCCCCCTGGACGCCCCTGCAGAAGACCCTTCGGGCTTTCCAGGCTCCTGGAAACACTTGCTGGGCCTAGGCAACGGGCCCAAATCAGTCAGGGGCTGCCCATAG